GATTCCCTCTCCATAACTGCAACAGGAGAGTCCGAAGCCAAGAGCCTGGAACTCGTTCTGGGTCTCCCATGTAGGTGGCAGGGGCCCAAGTACTTGGATCCTCATCTACTGCCTTCCCAGGTGCACTATCAGGGAGTTGGATTGAGACTCGAACTTGCATTCTGTTATGCAGGTTCTATTGCAAGTGACAGTCTAAAGTTCTGTGTCACAATGCCAGCCCCATATCAGTATTTCTGTTGGGTCTTTACCTAGGAGTGAAAGTACTGCATCGTTAGGTATGCATATGTTCTCTGATAATAGATAATGTTATGCAGGTTTCCTAAGAGTTTTGTGTCTTGCTAAGAACCATATCATATCCTGTAGATGTGAAGATACTCTTCTATATTATCTTCTAGGAACTCTATTGTGTTCCTTTTAACCTTTATATCTGTAATCAACTTAAGCTGATATGAAAATAATTTATTATTTTCATTTTATTTGAAAGAGAAACAGACAGAGATCTTCCACCTGCTGGACCCCTCACTAAATATGAACAATGACCAGGGCTGGTCAGGCTGAAGCCAGGAATCTACAAATCAATTTTTCTTCCCTGTTTTCCAACACAGTATCCATGCAATGGTTTATTTCATTTTTCTCATAAGAAAGCTTTGATGCTATGCAAGTAATTAGACAGGTGTTTGAACATGTGGTGATGTTGGTATTATTATTCCCATTTTACTGTAAGGAATAGAGGAATGGAGAAGTTAACCAATATAGTGAACAGGTTCTTCTATACAAAGACCTCTCTTATGTATGCCTTAAATAAAGAATGGTTTATTCAGCTTTGTGGATGGTAGTGTAGAGATGATTCAGACCTGTGAAGGAGCGTCTGCCATCCTCTTATCATTTATTCTCTCACTGATGCTTGAAAATGCATACCCTTTATTTAAATAATGTTACTTAAAATTGCACTGATACCCTATTGGTCAAATTTCAGTTTTATAGCACTTCTATATCCAAGAGAAGCTGGGATATGGAGTCATTAGGTGGCTAGTGCCTTGTTGAAATATGGGGTCTCTATTTACTGAAGAAAAAAGATAATGGATAGTGGAATTGCTAACCATAGGCATGTACTTGGTTAGCGCATCTGATATTCAGACTAAGGCCTGTGTCACTCCAAGAAATAATAAAATTACTCAGAGTATGAGTATATCTTTCTCTTACTATTGCTATCAGAAAACCTGAATTGAATTTAGAGACATTGCTATTAATAGTGAAAAGATTTCCAAAGCATGTTTTAATGTTTCCTCCACTGACTTCGCTCCATAGTTCCTCTCCCCACACCCTCCCATCCTTCTTTGTGTCTTCTGTCTTTGAAAGTACTAGTGCCCTGGTGTTTTCTCCCTGTATTCCCATTGCTCACATTTTGACAACAAGAAATAAGCCAGATGGAGGTAGGGGTAGGGGTGCAGAAAAAAGATAAGTGGTCACAATGTCTCTCTCACCTTTTTGTATTTTTAAATATTTTATTATTATCTTTTATTACACAAGTAATACATATTCATTGTAGAAAAATTAGAAAACACAGAAAAAGCAAAAAAACAAAAACAAAACACCCATAATCCCACGACCCATAGATAACTACTATTAACATTTTAGTGTATGTCCTTCTAGCTTTCTTATGCATATATATACATACATAGATATATTTATATATAATTTCTTTTTACAAATACTGTGTCATACTATACATATGGTTTTATAATGTGTTTTTCATTTAATATATATTCTGAACACTGTTGTTTATTCCCTGAAAAAATTATACAGATACTACATGCTCATTGTGGAAAAATTAGAAGGTACACATATGCAGAAAGAAAATACAATTGCTCCAAATCTCACCTCCCAGAGATAAAATGCTATTATCACTTCGGCAAATATCCTTTCATACTTTTTAATGAACACTTGTGTATGTAATATTTTTAAAAAAGGATCATACTATGGCTATACAACTGTAACTTCCTTTTTTTTTTGCTTAACGATATAGCAAAGATGTACATATGATGTTTATTATTAATGAGTACACAATATCCCACTAGAAGGATGTACCATATGTAACCAACCTTTGAAGGTGGGCTTAGTGACACTTTTCTACTCCTCCAAATAATGCTGCTATAAACATACTTTCCTGCATACAGGTTTTGAATAATGAATGAATACACTTTAGCACATTCTTTCCTCCTGGCTTTTGTAAAGTGGAATTTCCTAATATGGAATTACTGGGCACACATGGAAAATATATTGCTAAAATACTTCCTATAAAGTTTTGATCAATTTATAGTCCTGCTGACTCTAGAAGAGAGTGTTCATTTTCATACACCCTTATCGTTCCTGGTGTGTTTAATTCCTTATATTCTACCTTTCTCCTATGTAAAAAGTAGTACAGCATATGATTTGCATTTTCTATTACTAGTATATTTTTTAAAATTATTTCTTATTAGTGAATTATTTTAGCTTATTGTGTATAACCAGTTTGTGTCCCTGGCTTAATTTTCTACTGGAAAATTGGCTGTTTTTAAAGTCACAGGATCTCATTCATTCTTTCATCCCTCACTCATTGGATAGATATGTTTTCACCATTTGCTTTTGGTCTAATACTGTGTTAGGTGTTGGGGGCCCAATGGTAAGCCACAGAGAAATGGTTGCTGTCTTTTGTATTTCCAGTTCAGTGGGGGAAAAGCTGACAATTAGACAAGCAACAGTGAAGAAAACACAATAAGGAAAAAACTAAATGGAAACATTTGGCTGGGAAGACGGTCAGAAACTATGGGAACTTCCCAAAAGTAGTAGTGTTTAAATTTTTAATATTTATTAGATATTCCCAATCTGTTACAAAAATTACAAATATCATTTTCTCTCAGTTTTATTTGTTGTTTTCCACCATGTTGGAGTTCAGCATTTTTAATTGGTTAAATCTATCCATCTTGTCTTTATGGTTTCTTCCTTTGGTGTTATGCTTAGAAAGGTGTTTCCTAAATTTAAGTTATATAGATACTCATTCAGATTGTCTGCTAGTCCTGTTGTGTTCACTTATGTGATTTAACATTTAAATCCTTCTTTCATCTAGAATTTATTTTTCTGAAAGGAAGTATGGATCTAATATTTTTCTCAATCAATGGCTAACCAGTGGTTACAAAATAATAATCATCCAACCTTTTCTCATTGGTTTAGGATGTCATCTTTATAATGTATTCAATAATTTTATGTTCTTGAGTCTATTATGGGTCATATCGAATTCTAATGATTGATTCTGAGGCCAATCATATCATTGCGGTTCCTCATTCTACCCAGTTACCTGAAAATTGAGCACTTTGCATTTGGTGACATTCTGGAACACACACACACACACACACACACACACACACACTAGACTTTGCTTACAGGTGCGTGTGTGGGGTGGGAGGTTAGGCTGGATGATATCCCTAGTCATTTCAACATCGAGACTCTCAGAGTATGAAATTCCAGAGGAGATCATGGCCCACGTGTCAGCTGTCTACAGAAACTGGAGTTTGACTCCTGCACTCTCTTTATTTTCCCCTCTCACTCTGAGGGTCATCTTTCAGTAGGTGGCAGTACTGCCAAACAGTGAGTATCTCCACTGTTTTTACAGCAGCATGGACGAAGAAAATGGTCTGGCAGGATTTACAATTTAAAATCTCCCCTAGAAATTTCAGTTTGTTAAAGGAGGCATCAGAGTTGTGCTAATTCTAAAGCTTTCTTGGTATCCCTGAATGATGACACAACCAGAATTTTGCAGCAAGTCTGCAGATGCAGGCCAAACTGTAGAGGGTGGGCTTTGTTAAAACGACACTTTACATTGGAGGAGTTAGCCCTAAGTGCTGCTGGGCCCACCCCGGACTGACTGAAAGAGCAAAAATGTCATTTTAAACAATGCAATACATTCATAAAACAGTATATATGAAATACATGAAATTTGTTCCTGTTATGTATAAAAAATACCCAATATGAATTGTGATGAAATTCAGGTGACTTTTACTTTCTTTATACATGGTGGTATTTTTCAGATTGCCTGAAAAAAAAAATCATATTTTTGTAGTTGGAAAAAAACCCCCATCAACATGGGATATTAAAAATATGGTGGTCAAGTGAGTGTCACATAAAATTTGCATCCTTTTCTGTTTCAAGTATGTGGATATATGAAAAAAAAAATGGGTTTGATGTTCTCTTCTTATGCCTAGGGATCAGGTTAGTGATGTTGCTAATCTTAAAGAGAATCACCAGCAAGAAACCAAGACAGTGAGAACTTGATCTCGTGGAACCACACCTGAGAAAATCCTTTGGTAGGTGAGAGGAGAGAGGGGCAGCTCCCAGAGGATGCATATCTAAAGGGAAATGGCGAATGCAACCATGAGCCAGTGTAGGTATATCAGGACTTTGAGCACTAAATTTAATTTTATTACCTGCTTCTGAAAGAAGATCTATAAATCTTGGAGTGTGTCCACAGGAACTACAAAACTGATGGAAGGCTGGAAAACAGGCACTATGAATAAAAGATGAGGCTGAATATATCACCTTAGATATGGAAAGTCTGGCTAGGTAATTAGACAAATTCCCATCTCCGTGAATAGCTACTACAGCCTTCCCAGACATGGAGGTGAGACCTGAATTTATTAACAGTCTTCGGTTGTACAAAGGACAACTGCACAGAAGGTAAATGTTACTTTCACACTGAGACTAAGGTGAAGGTGAGCACAAACGAACCAAGCAGAAATGATTTAGGCCAGACATTTAGAAAACCGTGCTGAACACCCAAGGTGGGCTTCTCAGTTGGTAACCTCACATGGATTAGTGGGAGTAGGACCGAAGCTAAGGTTTCCACATAGTTGGAAGGTGGGAGAGGACAGAGATGGGAGCTGAGGGTAAGCCACCTTGGGCTGCTTCATAATTTCAAAATAATGGACCTGAAAGGCAATAACCTCAGGGAATGAAAAGGAGCCAGATTTAGAAAAGGATGTTAAGCTTTAATTAAACTGATTTTTGACAATCAACATTTGCAGACCAGGTGAGTCTGGTGGTTGCAAGGAGTATTCACAGGAGGAGTCCCAATTGTTTTTACAAGTACTTGATATAGGAAGTTGTGAATTTCTCATATAACTTGTCAAGGGTACTTCTTTTTTTATGAAGCCAGGCATACCTATAACCATGCATTAATTACCAGTTCAATGGAACACAATTCTAGACTGCAAGGATAGGACCAACAACCGGCTGGTGTGATCTAGAGACCTGTATAGCTTTTAGAGAGCTCTGCCAACTCCCTAAATCAATTTCATTTTCAATAAAAAGAGCTAGAAGACAATTCCACGTAAAACTTCCACAACATCAGCTAGTAGGTTGAGCTATATGAAACTGCTAGTTTTTGTAGGTCAAAACAGTCAAATATCAGCAATTTCATATGATTCAACTTAATAGAATAATTATCCCAGTAGCTTACCTGTACCTCTGTTCATTTTCACTAATGCTAAAGGTTTTAATATATTCAGATTTTAGGTCAAAATATTGGCATACATATAAACGCCTGTACATGTAAATATTGAGATAGTACTGGGTTGGGATTAAAGATGTGTCTTGGATACACCACTATTAGGTATCTAGCTCATCTTTCTGTTGTACTAGACACTGGTGCCTTGTGTCTGACTTGAAGATTTTTTGTACTACAGAAAACAAGAAGTGCAAAGACTTGATCTCTCAACCTAAGGGAAACTAAGCCTGGGAAATGGGCCAAAGGAGGAAGAGGGGGAATATAGAACAAAATTTGTACCGTGTTACAAGTTTGGTGCGGGAAGATCACAACAAAGCTATCAGCAGGAAAATGAAGCAGTGGCTTCCTCTGTTCTAAAATATAGTATTGCTTAATGTGTCCTGCTTTCAAGATTCTAAGCAAAAGACAAGACACCAAGTACACATTGGAAAAGTCATATCTGCATAGTCATCTAAAATGAGACAAGCTTAGCTTAACTAAAAGAATTTATCAACAATGTAAAATGTTAAATAGTTTTATGATCTGAGCTAATTCCAGCATGCCCTATAAGATTTAACACTATGCTGATGTGCAGACACCATGCTTCAGATTTCAATTAGAACAAAATGTGATAATATTCAATTTTACATTTGAGGGTAATTGTATATGTTTCTACACCATTTCCTAACTGGATTACTTCATTCTCCAAGAAGCTGAAAAAGACACCATTGGATCAAAGGAAATTAGTTGCCCATATGCATTGTACGACGGTATTAGGATTACTGTGTATTTACAAAGTGTAAGTACTTTCCATATATGGTTTTTGTTGCATTATAAATTAAGATATTTTCATGTTGAAGCTCTTAGATTCTGACAGAATGGAAGACTAAACATCAATGAGTGCAGAGAAAGCAATAAGTGAGGTGGCATATGTTAGGTTATAATATTTTTCCAATGAAACTGATAGATTGGATTTTCGAACACAGTTTTGCAGTTTTAAATAGGTTTCTATGTTTAAAGACTTCTTTCATATAGGATAAATTGTTCACATGAGATCAGCAAGAGCTATAGATATACTAGTATGTGTGAAATAACTTTTCTCTGTATAATACATTAAAAAAACCTTTAAGTCATTTAAAAACCATAATTCTTGCATCTGTCATGGCATGGTTTAGAGCAGGCATGCACAATGTCAGCTCTACAAATCCTTTTAAAAACAGCCTGCTTTTGGAATCAGTTCTTTTTTTCTTGATGGCAGCTGCTTTCAAGCTTAAAATCATTTAAGAGGGCGGGGAGAGGTGGAGAAAAGTAACGAGGAAGCATAGAAAACATAGTCAGAAACCAATAACTGTGTGGTTCAGCTGTCTGGAGGTCCTTCGGTTTTGTGATTTTTTTTTTCAGGTGTTCCCGGTGGTGGGCTTCCGAGAGAATTGCCTAGCTTGAGACGAGGCAACAGAGCCCAAAGAACCTTCTCTTCCGTCTTCTCACCAAGGGGTAAGGAGTTAGATTCAGAAGGCTGCTGTCATCTGTGATGGGACAGAAGGTACACAAGTGAGATCCAGACCAAGCAGCCTGCCTTTTGTGAAGTGGCTTGAAAAACCCACCATGCTTTGAATGAAGTTTTCTCACCTCCAGCACTGTTGACATTTTGGGTCAGATTCTTCTTTGTCTGAGGAGGCTGCCTGAGCATGGCAGTATGTTTAGTAGCATCCTTGGCCCCTACTCACTAGATACTAGGATGCCTTGGTCATATGCCTAGTGTCACCCTCTTTTTAAAAAATCCTTAAAAGTATACAGGTATTATCTACAGGTGTTACTAGATTAGTATCAAGACTGACTCTCATACATACCTGTTCATGCATTACAGTGTATCTAAAAATCTTTTCATAGTATAGCCTTTTATGCTACTGAGATTCTCACTCATCCCCCTTTGTGTGTATATATACACACACATATATGTAGACATACACAAAGGATCTTCAAGAAGGTCATGGAAAATTTGCATTATCTTTTAATTGTCTATGTCCTTTTGGAACCCCCATTTGTATTCATCTGTGTGTGTGTGTGCGCGCGCGCGTGTATGTGTGTGTCTGTAATTTCACATGTGAAGAGAAGTGTGAGAACTGATGAGAAAGTGCTCAGACATTGCACAAAGAGCAGGCTGCCTGTAGAGGATAACTGTTGGTGTGGGGCATCTTTGTTGCACATTTGTGACACCCTTGCCTCGCTTTGAGCATGTCTATCATCACCTAGGTCTGAAGTGACACAGAAGCTCCAGATTTCTTAGCAGAAATTCATAGCAGCTTCCTACACCATAGGAAGCAGACACTTGCAGTAAATGCTGAAATTCACCAGGCAGTGAGTATGCCTGGAATGGGTTGAAGTGACTTCAGCTCCAAGGAAAGTGGTCCTACCACATTGACTGAAATTCTATCTCTGAAGTGAAGGGCTGCTGAAAGAATGTGAGCCAAATGAAATGCTTTCCCATGCATCCTAAATTTTCTGGGCTAATTCACTTGAACTTGTTGGGAAATCTTTGATTGGATTGCGAATGCTTGGATGTGGCTTATTAATTAAGACATAGCATCTTTTTCTCCAAAATGTACAATGTCAAAAAACTATAAACTTGCACAACTTTAATGTGAAAATGAAAAATGGGAAGAGGAACGAAAACACAGGGAAAGGTGAAGGGAGACAAGAGTAGGAAATTCAGCCATCAGTAAATTCAAACCTCAATCATTCAATTATTTAATTCTTGATTGCTGCTAAAGCCATGGGTGATGGAATCCCATGATACAATATTCCATTTCTATTGCTCAATCTTCTTTTGCTAATAAAAGATTTTTTCAAACATGATATGTTGAGAAAAAAGTAGGACATGAAAATGAGTAAATGAGCTTACATCCATATTCTCAGGTATAATCAAGAGAAATACTTATAACAGAACTGCTGTTGCAGATTTCTGTTATAGAAAGAGGAGAGAGAAATACTGTACTAGTGTCCTCTGAGGGCCTGATACAGCACAGATGGCCCCAGCGGCAATGAGAGGCCTGCTAAGTGCAAGACTCTCGGGACGGAGGGCTACACCAAGATGGGCCTTAATAGAAAGAGCGTCCTTGACCTCAGTGATCTTTCTGGGAGTAACAATGAAGCTCCATTAGGAAGGCCATGTAAGAGATCCAAATATCTTACTCTAAGAATTCTCAGGTATGGGGGTGGGAAGAGGAGAGGCCATTCTGACTTGGAGGAGAAAGAATAAGACATTTCTGGAATTTTCATGGAGGTCCTGATGTTCATGCTTGGGGCCAAGGGATGGAATGAGGAGAACTTGGACATTTGGGGGAGGGTGGTGGGCATTCTGAATAGAGGAAACAGTGCAAACAAAGTCATGGAAGTGATCAAAGCAGCCTAATTTGGGTCCAAGTAAACAGTCCCATCTAGCTGGAATAAAGGGTGTATAGAAGAGTGAATGGTACAAAACTAAGAATTCCCTAAATACACCATATTTTCTCTTTCCTCACTGCTTTTACCCATTCCACCTTTTCTTTTCAGGAAGTCTTCCCTGCTTAGACAAATGGTAATCTTTGAAGTCTTCTCTGGTTGCTCCATGCTTCTGAAGTCTTCCATGGTCCCATCCCTTCTAAGAGCAACTGGGACAGCCCTTAGTGCTTATCTGTACCCCATGCTGCCTTCCTTCCACTCTGTAAGCCATTCTTTATAAAAGTGGTAACCGATTTACCCTGTGGCCCCAGCTCTTCATCTCCCACCCAGACCTCAACCTCCCTCAGCCAGATTTATATACCCCAGATTCCAAGGAAGCTGCTTCTTCCAACAACACCAGTGATGACCTTGTTGCTAAATCGTGTGGATGCTGTTGGTCGTTATGGGGCTTAACCACCCTGCACTATTGGCCATTCCTTCCTTGTAGCCTTTGTTGACTTATTTCACAATGCTCTTCTGGGGTTTCTTCTTAGGGCCCTTTGGAAAAATGTCCTTTTGCCTCAAACTTCACATGTTGCTGTTGTAGGACTCCTCCCTGTAGGCATTCCCCGGAGGTGTTCTCAACCACTGTGGGCCTTCTCCACCATGCTGACGATGCTCACATCTGTTCCTAGACCTCCTGGGTCACGTCTCATCACTGCACTGTTAACCACTAAGCATTGCTCTTGAAGGCTCCCCCCCCCCCCCCCAATCCCAAACCCCAGTCATTCTCTCCCTTCAGGGCTCTGTTCTCTCTTCGTGACTAACACCATCGTTACTTTCACTTTCGAAGACTGAACCTGGGTTTCATCCTGGCTTCTGCCTTCTCCCTATACAATGCATTTGAATATATTGGTTATACTCTCCTCTCTAATCCACTTGCTTTAGTTCAGATATTAAGCATTTCTCACCTGGATAACTGCACCTGCTTCCCAACTGAATCCTTCTAGTGGATCCAGGATAAAAGTGCAAACCTCTTACCATGAGACACTGGTGCCTTGATAATACTGCCCACCTATTGTTCTTGTCTCTCTCTATGCCTCTGTTTATGAAAATGTCCTGTCCTATCATCTTCCCATGTACCTTCACACATCCAGAGTCTTCTGGCTGGACTTTGTTTTTTCCATCTTTCTTTGGGTAACGCATCCTAAAATGTTTCAGCTCAGATACTTTCCAAAAAGCTATTCCTAATAACCCCCATTTTCAATTCAAGTCTGGAGTGGGGAGAATCTAACATGTCCTTGTAGCAATCTATGTCTAACTATTACAGTATTATTTTAAGCACTAATTTCTGTGTCTTTCCAATACGTGTGTGTGTGTGTGTACATGCATGTGTGACAGTTACCTTAAGAATGACAAGCCCAAACCAGAAGGCTTCACCCTACTCTCTCTGAGGGGAGGCAGGTTCTCTTACCAGTTGAAAGAATTTCCCAAGTGATTCTCATCCAATTTTGTCCTGTTGAGAGGGGCAGTCTCTAGGGGGAGGAAAGACATCCCAGCACCTGGCACAGAACCTGTCACATCATAGGTGGCCATCACATGTTAGATGATAATCGGGACAACAGATGATGGGGCAAGAAGTCTGTTTTCCCTTCAGTAGATAGTGAACAGACATTGAACGGTTGTGAGTAGGAGTTTAACATAATCAGGGTAATGCATTAAGCAATTGGATTAGATTGGAGGAGAGCGAGGGATTACTGTGTCACACTGAATCCTGGACTGAAGGTTGAAGAGATTACAACAGGTGTAGGTACCAGTGAAACGGTGTAGAATAACCTTCAGATACCATCTGATAGCAAGGAGAATCTTCATGTGAGGTCCTGGGGGAAGGCCCTAAAAGGTCATTTTCAGACTAGAGGGTGGCATAAGTACCTGGTATTCGTTAGCCAGATATCTAAGAACTCTTCTGTTGTACATTTCCAGTTCGATTCTGGATATGAGGGCACAGGTTTGGAGTGGATGGGGGTGTGAGACTAGGAGAACTGTTCCTAGGACCACTTTTGTCTGGAGTGGTACTGTCCACAAGAGGGGACCCATTATGGAACATACTCAATTCCTGACTAGGCTACTTCCAGACTGGTTCTCATGCACGGTACAACAATCGAATGCTATACAAGAGTGAGCATACCAGCACATTCCACAGCATTCATTGTCAGAATGTTGGGGAAGGTGAAGTGGTTTTTCCAGCTCAATTTATTTCTGCTGATTTGTTCTGTTTCATAACAGTGCGCGTTTTGAAGATGTTTGCCCTTCACCCTCCCATCTCCTTTTAGTCTTTGTCAGGAGCCTTGTGGGCTCTCCACAGGTGCTTCCATTTGTAATCCATTTGACACAGCAAGACTAGCATAATTAAGGAAGCTCCCTACAGCACTGCCAGTGACCCAGAATACAGGACAGGAGTGGGGGGCTGAGCAGTGGAGGGGACAGTGGGCTGAGGGCCAGGAGACCTGCATGTTGCCCCAAGCCTGATGTGGAGCTGCAGTCCAACAAGGGGGCTCCCTTTTTGTGCCCCTTCTTGGAAGAGTGGGAAAGAAAAAGCCCTGTCTAAAGTGAAGGCATCGTCAATGACTGTTAAAATCCCTGCCCTTGGCCGTCTTCCTCACTTTTCCACTGGAAATTGATTTACAGTGAACTGTTGTTGTCAAGTTTTGACTGCACTAGGAAGGGGGAGAAGACAAGATTAACTCTTTAAATGCTGGAAAACACATGGAAGTTTCTGAATCTGGAGTCTGGAGAAGAAAAGTCTGGAGAAGAAGGGATTCTGACCCTGCTGGGATTTTCACAGGTGAAGGTTGGAGGTGGGAAAATTAGGAACCAGAAAAGAAAAGGCATGTAAATGGAATAAAAACTGAAAGGAAATAAGAAATCAAAAAGGAAACAGATGGCATTCTATCATGGTTTGAATCCAGTTAAAAGCATGTTTTGACAATAAGGTCCTAAAGAAAAGAACTGGAATAAGTTTTCCTACTTTTTCACCCTGTTCCATTTCTTGCATATATGACCAAGACTTGTATAATAAATCACCTGAAAATCCCAGCAAGGTCATAGGTAAGCCTCTATTATCTATCTTGTTATATGCAATCAGAGAAAGAAATCTGGCTGATTTTTTTTTTCACTAAAATGGTGCCATATGCTCCCAAAAAATGTTCCCAGAAGGACCCTAAGAGACCCACTCCCCTGCCCTGAGACCCCCAGTGGACCCTCCAGTGCAGGCCCGCCTGCCCCTCTGGTCAGCACACAGTGCCCATGCCTGAGTGCAAACCATGCATGTGGAGAACAGAGATGGGTTTTCATGGGCTAAGGGCTCCTATATTTCCCCCAAACCTGAAGAAACCTGAATTTCCTACAATTCTTCACCTCAATATTTTGATTATTAAAATCCCACAGCACCTCTTCCTTCTGAATAAGTCCTTGCACCTTCTAGCTTTTTCTTTTTTATTTCCCATTTGGAACCAGGGTTCAAGTCCAAGGTATCATGTATTTGAATGGCTATTCCCTTTTTATTCATGTTTTCCTTTGAAGTATCTACATCAAATTATTTTATTCTTAAAACTATCAATCAATTCTTATCTATTTATAAAAGTAATATAAAGTTACACAAAGTATGTATATTATGCTTTTTACTATAAAAATTATCAAGTAAACAAAATGAAATTTGTTGCTCCATTACGGAATAATTCAAAAACTGCTGGATGAATTATGACTAAATGTGAAGAGAATGTTTAGGATGGTTTGGTTTAAAAGACAGATCGTGCACAGCCATGAAATTCAGACTAGAGGGCCTTGAGCAGTCATATCCCTGGGCAGCTGAATGTGAGGTACAGCAAGAAGCCCGGGAGCTGCTGATGGGGAGAGGGGACTTGCTAAGTCTATCAAGACTCTGAGGACAGCTTTGGACATGTGCACAAAATCCCAAGTCCTGGGGCCAGTGCTCTGAACTGCAGGCTCCAGACCAAACTTACAAAGACACGCTACACACATGAGGGTACCTCAAAAATCTCAAGGCACCATGGAATTAAAAGAGAATTTTTATGCAAAAGAGTTTGGAAATCCATGCATAATTTTCCTTAAAAACATTTTGGGCAAATTAATACTTATTTGAAGGCAGAGAGAGCACAGACAGACAGAGTTCTCCTACCCACTGCCCACCATGGCTAGGGCCAGGTCAGGTTCAAGCCAGGAGACTAGAACTCAATCTGAGTCTTCCACACGGGTGGCAGGAACCCAGTTACTGTGAGCCATCACCTGCTGTTATTAGCGGGAAACTGGGATTGGAGGGGGAGCTGGTACTTTAATCAGGCGCTGTGATGTAGGATGCGGGCATCCAGGTTGGCATCTTAATTGCTCTGCCAAATGTTCACCCCATCAGTTTTTAATAATGCACATCTTCAATGAACTTTTTCAAGGAGTCTCACAGGCTGCTGGAGCCAGGGGCTGCAGGGATTCTCTCGAGCCAAGTCGGGAGAGACAGGCAGTAAGTACTAATAATACAGCAGTGACGGTAGTAACAGTAAAGCATTTGTTTGGCATCTGCTTTTCGTCAGCTGGGTGGCAGGCATAGAACACATTGCTTATTTGATCCTGACAACAAGCACTGATCCCGTTCTCACGCAGACATCGAAATTTCCAGAAGTGAAGCAACTTGTTCCGGGCCACAAAGCTGTAGCACAGCTTAGAATGTGAAGCGAGGTTAGCCTTAATCCCGGCCATGGGTCCTAAACACCACGCTTCTTCCTGGCAACAAGTCTCCTACGCCACGCTCAAACAATCTCGCATCATTCCAACACATCGTCTACTGTCTTAACACAAGACACTGCAAAGCGCTGTCCCCGTGGCTCAAGCCAGTTTGCCTTGGTGACCAGGCCCTCCTGGGGGTACTTGCGGTTACCTAGAGCGCCACATCCCCTGCCTTTGTTGTTCTCTCCCCACTTCGCACAGCCCAGGCCACGTTCCTGCTCAACCTCGTTGCCTGCTGTTCGCACTTCCACCTCTCCTCCGTCTGCCAAGCTGCTCCCTGAGCCAAGAGGCGCTTCAGCTCCACTGCCAAATCGTCCTCCTCCTCACTCCTCGGCAGGCAGCACCCTGTCCTTCCGCCCACCCAGTTTGCTCAGTGCAAACGAGGAGTTTCTCCCTCGAAGGCCCTTCCCCACCCTCCGGCCATACACGCTTAATCGACAAGCTTGGTATGAGTCCTTTTACATCTCATGCATGGAGATTTAGCAGACGTTGGTTGTTTGTGCCAGGTGTTATTCTGCTGTGGGCCAGACACATGTTGTATCCCGGGAATATGACAGTTCACAGATGCATAGGGAAGCTCTTCCACCATTCTAGCGAGTATCCCCTCCCACTTCTGGGTCAGGGCGTGGCCTCCCTAAGGACAGCCCTGCAGATGGGCTGCACGAGCTCACATCTGTTTTTCTACTCGCAGTCTGTGTGACCTTGGCCAAGTTCATTAGTCTCTCTGTGCCTCAGTTTCCTGCAAACTGCAAAACACTAACAGCATCTTCCCTGCAAGTTGTTATTAGAATTAATTGAATACAGTTAATACAAGTAAGCACTTAGGATGGTCGCTCAGTATAAGTCTTAATATGGGTCATTATTCCTGCTTTTTGTAGATAATTAAGCTTGTAGATGGCAGGTATCTTCCTTTGGAAGGCCTGTCTCCAGTGCCTTTACATTTGCTGTACCTGGTACAGAGCCTGCCACGTGTGTGACGGGGCCAGTGGAAGGGAGCCTGTTTTGAGGTCACTGTATCTCAGCCCCTCTTCGAACAAAGCCGTGTTTACCTGAGGGACTCCTGTCTCATTATCCTGTCTTCTAGAGGGAAGACAAGGGGTGCTTGGTGCTTGCATAAAATACTTCCTTTAATTTCTCAAAAACTGGGTCCCAGCTTATCACATTCAAAACATCCTCTGCCTCCGAGAGAAATCACGACTCACCTTGATTTTTCAGCGGTAAAGGCATAGTTTCCCTGAGTTTGCTTAAAAGGTTTTTCATTTCGCGCATGTCTCTGCAAATCGGATAAAAATAAAGAAGGATGAGCTGTAAATTTTCAAAATGAAATCTGTCTTTCCTATGAGTCAACTGTGCCTCATTGTACAAGCTTTAGTTTCCAGTAGGCAAATATTGAATTTATTTTGCTTTTACAAGCAAAAAAATAATAATAAGACGGTTGACCCCAGAAGGATTGAGAACTATTCTGCCAACACTCCGCAGGGCACTCTGTAGGAACCCCCGTTTTTACCCCCAGTGGGACCTGGCTGAGGCCAGAGAAGTCCTCTCGGCAGTGAGGATGGTCCTTTGGGTTTACAGGGAGAGGCCCGGGACACGCAGCCCGAGTGACGCGGCTGTGCTAGGCAAAGCCGAGGCTGGGCGCTGGTGCTGCCGGGACTCGAGGGTCAGATGGCTGTGGCGGCCGTGTGCGTGTTCTTGCTTCTGTCCCTCATTCCTGTGGTTGGAATTTCGTGTAACACAGGGGTTAAGCGTTCACCAGGGCCAACATGTTCTAGATGGACTTAGAATGATGGGAGAGAATAACAAACTCTAAAACTTCCAGATAAGAGTTCTTCATAATTAGGTGGTGGTGGTAGGGGGTCACAGTAGCAGGGGAGGAGGAAGAATGAAGAGGCACTTATTTGGAACAAGTTGCCCCTTTAACAAGCCTGTTCTCTCCCAGACGAGTGCACACTGCATATTTCGCGCACCCTCCCCCCCCTCTCACTCGGTGTGCACAGGATTTTCAAGGCCAGAACTGTAGAGCAGGAAGCGCTAGTCTGGGAGAGGGGGTGCGTTGTGTTCTCCTTTTCTAACCCGAGCAGTTCCCCCGTGTGTCCACGGTCATGCACCAAAGAGAGTGCTCGGGAAACCCTGGGATGTGGTGGAGGTTTCATTTAAAACAGCAAAAAATATAATTTGGTGCAAAACCCAGTTCCATGTTTTAGCTAACACTAGGATAGGCAGGAATCAGCAGGCACCACTGGTATAAGGACACATTTCTGGGGAAGGTCATCCTAAAGCGGAGGATGTTCCATCCACTCACGTATTACCCTCTGGCATTTGAAGAGAGTTAGGCACCATTTAGTTTTAGGAAGGAAACCCCTCAGTCCCATTGTACCAACTACCCCTCTCCTGTAGAGCACGTTCTGAGCCCGCTGTGTTGGGGGAGGCTGGGGACTCTGCCGTCTTCCTCAAGTGAAGTGTAGAGGAACTCAAGGCTCGAAGTTAGCTGATTGGAAAGGGGGTTGGTGGGGACAGCCTGGAAGACATTCGGAGTCCTTTCCCATGGTGGGGTGTGAGGTTGAGAGTGTGTCTGAGGGGACCACACACGGCCCAGGTCAGAGGGGGAGGCAGCCCTCCCTCCAGGACTGCAGGGGGCACGTCCAGCTCCATGGAGGATCTCTTGGCTGATGGGATGGGCAGGAAAGGACCAGAAATGCACCACGGGGAGTGAAGCAAGGCGTCCCCACAGAGCACCAGATCTCCGCATTGGCTGCTACCCTGGAGCATCAGCTTCCTGCCAGGCCCCTCTCCCAGACAGCCTGATTAAGTAAAGAGCCCTCCTGGGGTTTCAAATGTGCCCGCCACTTAGAGACCTACTGACTTCTTAGGGACAGAGCGCCAGGGAGAAGTGAGGAAGCCATGTCCCCGGCCAGGGCTACTCTGCCTACTTCCCTTGTTCTTTCCCAGTTCTTTGACCAGAATGAGGCTTTGCAAGCTGCCCAGAAACGCTGCCATCCCCTGGCTCGCTCTCTCTCAACCTCGCAAGGCCTGTGGGTGGCTGCGGAGCAAAGTGTCTGAAAAGGAAAACAGCTTTGCTCACAGTCTGCCCTGCCCATGACATTCGGCCCATCTTTACTTCCCGTGACCAGAGCAGACTTGTCTATGTTTTAAATTAAGGTAAATCACTCCTGCATCATTTGCCTGTAGTTCCTTCAAACTGTGCTCAACAGCTTCATTGTTTGAATTGTTGGGTTTTCAAGCTTATACAAAATCCAAGTTTTATTAATAGCACATAATTACCACACGCTCCAATTTTCTATAAACACAGAAATTTGGTAATTAGCTTTAGAATAATATTACAATCTGAAAGTAGAACCACAATGGCAATAAATGCCATTGGCTGTTACTCTTCTAAAAATAAAAAAATAAATGCTCATTATCTTGTCAATGACTCACACCCCCTCCTCGGGGGAACTTGGTGAAATTGCCTGGTATTCATTCAGCTGTTTTGTGCCAGCTCTGGGGGCACGAGCAGCAAAGGACACAGCTATGAGCGTGAAGACCCATGAACAAGGGCTTCCTCTTCCCACCTCACAGCAAGGCATTGACTGTTATGCTATCATTGCTTCCTTTTCCCAACTGAATTAGCATCACTCTGAGTAGAATGTCTTCCTCCCAAGAAACAAGTTCTCGGTCTAGAACGGAGCCACTTTCAGAGAGTGCATTGCCTCACTCTGACCACTAAGGGGCCATCAGCTGCATTCTGGAAGAGTAAGGGAAAGAGGTTCTGTCAACAGCTCTTTGTGGACTGCACAGAAAACTCAGAAAGCAGCTAAGTGGGCCACTCTACCTACCTGAACTCCTACAACCTCCTGGAAGTGTCTTCTCCCTTAAACAAATGGCGATTTGGGGAGGCAGCCAAGTGCGACAGTGTGTGGATCCAACTTTCTCCCTTGCAAGGAAGCACACTGTTTTTGTTTTCCTTGGGATGCCATGTGTTGGGATAAGCAGAGGCCTGGGAGTCTGTACCTTCGGTAGGTCCTGCTATTATTCCCCTGGGGAATTGGGACTACTGACCCTCTGCCAGTCTCCAAGGTTCCCACCAGACCTTGATGCTCTGGCAGATCAGAGAGAGCCCTGTTTCTTCTGAATCTGAAATAGAAAAGCTTGACTGTTGGTGGCCCGAAGGGCACTGCCTGGAGGAGGACTGTGTTCCGTGCAGGGTAACTTCCCACTTACCTTTCCGTGTTCTCAATGTCCGTGGAAACCTGCCAGGAATGCTGCTGACTGTCCACAGGGGATGAGGAGGAGTCCTCTAGGGCAGGTGTCTCAGTGCTGTCCTCAATTTTGCAGTCCGAACTCTTGGTTCCCCCAGCAACGTCTTTTCCTAAAGGAGGGGAGTATTGGTACAGAGAAGGGGATAAGACATCATAAATGCGCATTCTGTACCCAGGATGACCCTGCAAAGGTTGGTTATGCTTTGAATCAAATACTCCTTTAACTCTAACAACTCTTTGAGTAACCAAATCATGTTTATATATGTATTATATATAATATATAAATATAAAATATATATAACATATATTGAATATAAATATACATATATTATATATAAATATAAATATAAATATAAAATACATATATACACGTGTGTGTGTGTGTGTGTGTGTGTGTCTCTACTTATTTTCACAACATACTGGGAAGGATAGATTAAGGTGATTAAGGTCAATGCAACCTAAAGATCAAGGTAAAATTAAAGCCTCTTTAAAAATTTTTGTTTGACAGGCAGAGTGGACAGTGAGAGAGAGAGACAGAGAGAAAGGTCTTCCTTTGCCGTTGGTTCACCCTCCAATGGCCGCCGCGGCCGGCGCGCTGCAGCCTGCGCACTGCGCTGATCTGAAGACAGGAGCCAGGTGCTTCTCCTGGTCTCCCATGGGGTGCAGGGCCCAAGCACTTGGGCCATCCTCCACTGCACTCCCGGGCCACAGCAGAGAGCTGGCCTGGAAGAGGGGCAACCGGGACAGAATCCGGTGCCCCGACCGGGACTAGAACCCGGTGTGCCGGTGCCGCAGGCGGAAGATTAGCTTATTGAGCCACGGCACTGGCCTTAAAATATTTTTATTTGAGTGAGTGAGCGAACAAGCGACAGAGAGACCTTCTCTATCGACTGGTTTACTCTCCAAAGGTTTGCAACATCTGGGGCTAGTGAAGTCAAGTGCCTGGAATTCGACCCAAGTTTCCCATGTGAGTAGCAGGGACCAGGTACTTAGGTCATCACCCGCTGTCTCCCAGGGAGTGTATTAGCAGGAAGATGGATCAGGAAGCAGAGCTGGGGCTTGAACCCAGACATTCCAGTGAGGGATGAACCCAAGAGGCTTCTTAACCGTGCCAAATGCCCACCCCAAAACTCCTGTCTTTGATGGAGTATTGGTGCCTTGCATCACGTAAGTGTGGCAGGGGAGATTTCGCCTGTGACAGGAATCTGTGTTTGGTCCTCACATGCAGACAGGTAGAAGGGCCAGGAGCAGGTGTCACTCAGCAGGGAGAATGGGAGCTGCTCTCTTTGATACTCAACACTGGCTCTCTCAGCCACAGCAGAGGTCATGGATCTCCGTTCCCATCCCTTGGCTCTCTAGCCTCCTTTAGCACATCCTTCTATGAGCAGAGACTCTGCAGTTAGGATCCAGGCCTTCTGTCTGCTGTGATCACAAAGTCTTAGCAAGTGAAGGGCCATGAGAAGAGCTGTGTCCTGGGTAGCAGTTTACAGAAATGCACTGCCAACCCTCAAGCCTTGGATTTACCATGACAGAAGTGAAAAAATCTGTACTTTCGCAAATAAATCTCCAAACTGGTTCAACCATAGATGTAAATGAAAGTAAAACAAGATAAGAGTCGGAGAACTCAAGGGGCTTCCATAGCCTTGGAAACTCATGACTGGTGCATAGGGAGATTACTGATGCCATAAACAGGAGTGTCAATTTGTAAAGTCAACAACAGGGGTCACTGTGCACTTACTCCTCATGTAGGATCTCTGTCCTTAATGTGCTGTACATTGAGGCTTAATGCTATAACGAGTACTCAAACAGTATATTTCACTTTGTGTTTCTATGGGAGTGCAAACTGTTGAAATCTTTACTTAATGTATACTAAACTGATCTTCTGTAAAAAAAAAAAAAAAAGAAATTATCAATTCCCAACTTGACTCTCACTGGGATTAAACATGACAATAGGTCTGATCTGATTTCATCATTATGGGGGGGGGGAAGCCATTGTAATCCATAATGTTTCTGTGTGGGAGCAAACTTCATTAAATAAAAGTTAAAAAAAAAGAAAGTAACTAAAGGTTACAGCCCTTAGCCTAGGTATACTCAGTGAATGACTTATTCTGCTTTGATAATTTGTGCATTCACAGGCGGCACCTAGTACCAGGTCTGAGATGTGGGTTTTAAACCTGGCTTTGTTTATTCACTCATTCGCTCATTTATTCTCTTACAAAGATTCCTTGAGTGTCAGCTAAGTACCAAGCACAGGGCTCCATGCTAGAGATACAAAAGTGAAACAAAGGCACAGAATCTGTGCCATGGAGCTTAACATGCTGTCTTAAGATTACAACCGCAAAAATCTCTATGTAGATATAATTGCAAAGCTGTTGTGTACCATTGTGTAATCTGGAAAAAAAGGGGCCTCTATTTCATGGCCTATGCTCTTTCATCCAGTTTTATTTTTATTATAAAGTAGCTTTAGGCCAGTTGTTAAGAAATTGTTACACCCCAAATCATTGAATATTCATGAGATTGCAGGCTTCATCATATTACCTCTTAGCTCAGTCTCACTAATCCTGGTGTGATTGTTTTGCATTAAAAAATAAACAAATTAAAAAATAAAACAAACTTGTGAAAAGGATGGCTATTAATAATAAAATGGAAGAGGAAGCTTTTTCTTCAGAGTCCTGACCTGTAGGGCATTAGCAAAAATCCCAGTACTGCAGCTTCTAAGTCACATGGTAGCAACACAAGGGGAAACAGAAAAGCAGTTGAGTGGTAAGTGTACACCTTTCATCAAACCACAGTAGAAATGGACCTCTGGACATTCAGCCAAAACACAAGTGCAAGTTTACTAATGAGAAATCTGGACCCTTTTCTGTCGATTTTATGCATATTGATCCTGGGAGATGGAGTTTGCCTGAGGAATTGTTTTTCCAATTTGATGGTATGCTGTTGGGTGGAAATGAATTAAGCACATAATTTTGTGCATTACCACTTCACAGTTGGAGGACATTGACCTCTTAAAAGCATTCACATTTGGCCTCCTGGTAGAACGCAGCAAATGCCATCAGTTCATTTGCCACTCACCTCTGGTCAGGGTCAGCCTCAGGACTTGAGTCTGAGCAAGGGCGGTGGAGATCCAGCAGGGCAAGACGGGGCTCCCCAAACCAGCCCTTTGCTTTTTAAACTTTGAGAGATAGGGCAACCTGAATGCATATGTGGCTCCTGTTATACTCGCATGGGTTTGAAATGCCTTGGCCAGTGGAATATGGATTGAACAGTGAAGGGGAGAGGCAGGTTTCCTAGTGATCATGCAGACAGAATTCTCTGGTTTATGGGCTTGGGGGCCATAGTGTACCCTGTCCTGTATTCAGGAACAGAGTGTGAAGATTTTATTCCAGCAAGGACAAGGCACAACACAAAGATATATTATGTTCTTTCTTGGGATCTTGTCCGTCCCTCTCATACCTTTTACATGCAAAGGCAATATGCAGAGTCTAGCAGAAAAGGCCTTTGGTGAAGTTCTTTTGTTCTTCTCTATATAGAATCAGGCCATCTGCAAACTAGGATAATTTGACTTCCTCCTTTCCAATTTGTGTCCCTTTGATTTGTTTTGCTTGCCTAATGGATCTGGTTAAACCTTCCAAAAACTATATTAAATAGAAATGGTAAAAGTGGGCATCCTTGTTTGGTTCCAGATCTTAGAGGAAATGCTTCCAAGTTCTCCCCATTCAATATAATGCTGGCTTGGGTTTGTCATACATTGCCTTGATTATGTTTAGGAATGCTCCATCTATACCCAGTTTGCTCAAGGTTTTTATCATGAAAAGATATATTTTATCAAACACTTTCTTTGCATCTATTGAGATAATCATGTGATTTTTTTATTCAATTTGTTAATGTGATGTATTACATTTGGTGATTTGCATATGTTGAACACTCCCTGAATACCAGGAATTAGAGTTTGGTAAAGTTGCAGGATATAAAATTAGCACAAAAAGTCAATAGCGTTTGCATACACAGCAATGCCATGGCTGAGAAAGAATTTTTAAGATCAGTCCCATTCACAATACCTACAAAACATTTTAGATATCTTAGAATCAATTTAACCAAGGAGGTGAAAGATCTATATGATGAAAATTACAAAACATTAAAGAAAGAGAAAATGGAAATGGAAAAATCTTCCATGTTCATTAATGTCATCGAATGTCCATACTACTGATAGCAGTTTATAGAATTAATACAATTTCAATCAAAATACCAACAACATTTAGAAAAATGATCTAGAAATCTAGATCTAGAAAAAATGATGCTTAAATTCATATGGAAACCCAAGAGACCCCAAATAACTAAAGCAACCTTAAACAACAGAAACAAAGCCAGAGACATCACAATACCAGATTTTAAGATATACTACAGGGCAGTTGCAATTGAAACAGCCTGGTACTGGCACAAAAATAGACATGTAGCCCAGTGGAACAGAATAGAAACTCCAGAAATCAATCCACACGTCTACAATCAACTCATCTTTGACAAAGGAGCTAAAATCAATCCCTGGAGCAAGGATAGTCTCTTCAACAAATGGTACTGGAAAAATTAGATCTCTGCATGTAGAAGTATAAAACAAGACCCCTACCTTACACCTTATAGAAAAATCCACTCAAAAAGGATGTATATCTATGACCTGATACCATCGAATGACTAGAGGAGAAGATGGGGAAACTGTAAGACACTGGCATAGGCGAAGACTTCTTGGAAAAGACCCCAGAGGCAGAGGCAATCAAAGCAAAAATAGACAAATGGGATTATATCAAGCTAAGAAGTTCTGCACTACAAAGGAAACACTTGACAAAGTGAAGAGGCAACTGACAGAATGGGAGAGAATATTTGCAAACTATATAACTGATAGAGGATTAATATTCAGTATCGATAAAGAGCTCAAGAAATTCAGCAACAACAAAACAAATAATCCAGTTAAGAAATGGGCAACTGTGGACTCAAGAGTCTTCCATAGCTTTGGCAGCTCATGGCAAGAGCCTTGGGTGATTACTGACGTCATAAATAAGATGTCAATTGTTAAATCAACAATAGGAGTCACTGTGCACTTGCTCCCCATGTAGGA